TTATCCCTGGGGAAATGCACGTTAAAGCAGTAACAGGCTATCACTGTATACCACTGCAATGAATGGTAAAATTACAAAGACAAATCATTTCAAGTTTTGTCAAGGGTAGGAACCAAATGGAACTGTCATAGATAGTTCCAGGGAATGCAAAATACTACTGCCATATTGAGAAACAGTTGGGGAGTTTCTTATATACAACACAAAAATCCTATCCCTACATATCTGCCCCAAAACAGAAAACCTTTACACACAAAAATTTGTATTCAAATACTCAAAATGCACAAAAGGGAGAAACCACCCAAACATCTGTGTCAACAGGTGAATAGGTAAACTGTGATACATCCACACAATGGAACTCAGAAATAAAAGTAATTATGATACACTCAATAATATGGATGATTTCAATGGTATTAAGCAAAATAAAAAGGTATATTCACATGATTCCATTTACAAGATATTCTACAAAGATGAAACTAGGGACAGAGCAGTGGTAAAAGGTGCTAGATGATGGTATGTTCTCTATGTGGCTGTGCTACAGTTACACACAATTACATACATTTGTCAAAGTTCACTACATTGTACAGCTTAAACTGGTAAATTTTATGTGTAAATTGCACCTTAATAAAGGTGTTTAAAAATAAACCCAAAGTTCCAAAACCTGAGAATGCAAATGCACAAAAACATTCATTTTCTCTTACTTGTTTCAACAGACATTTTCACTGAAAGATGACATATAGCTAAGAAACCCCAAATCACTTATTTACTCAGATGCCAATAACACAGGAAAATAAAAGTAAACACGTTCTGAACACAGGAAACCTCTGATAGTACAATTTCAAAAAAAAAAAAAAAAAAAGCTAGTTTTAAATTCCACATCAACATCATCTACCTTCCTAGCCCCAACCTGTTTGTTATTTTCTAATTTTTTATTTTGTGTATGTTAGTACAACTATTGAGTTATAGAAACAAATTAACAATTGAAAGAAACTGTTTTTAATTTTGAAATTACACACCAAAATTTATTTAAATTAAGTGCCTTAAATATTTTTGTTGTTCTAACCAAAAGGTTTTAAATAAATAAAAAAGGAATAAGCAGCCCAGCTACATGACATTAGTGAATAATCTGTTGAAGTATCTCAAGAATATAATGATTAGAAATGCCTGGCAAGCAGAAAAACGTAAAAAAATTTATTCAAAGTGTCTTCAGTTCGCCAGCATCAGCTTATACCTAGAACAGAGGTCACAATTACAAAAGTACAAGTTTTTATGACTTTGTTTAAATCTGTGACACTAGATGTGCTACAAGCCTGCTGCTAACTTCCTCTACTTGTGGACACTGTACCTTTCCTGAGGATGGAGGAGAAGGGCTAGCACAAGGACTCGGATAGCTACTGCTATCTGTAGACTTCACAGAGGATTGGTCTGACCGGTCATCAGTGCTCCGTTTAGGGTGTAAAATGCCTCTATCCTTGTACTTCTGAGGCGGGTGTAAAGCTGGAGATGGAGATTTCATCAGTACTCTTGAACAAGAAGGAGGAAGCAAAGGTCAATTATATATAAGTTTATGATACAAAGCAATGCTACTTCAATCTAAAGTTCCAATGAAATTATTCTGTATGGGATAGCATTTTTAAAGGGAATTTTGTACTTCTATTATATTTAAAAACTAAGAAACTAAGAAAACATTAAGAAATAGCTGGACTGTAGCCCAATGGCTCAGTAGTAGAGTGCTTAACAAATGCATGAGGCCTTCCCTGGGTCTGCTCCTCAGAACCACAAAAAAACCTGAACTATACGGCAAACATAATATGTATTTAAAAATCTATAAAAATCACAACAGATATTAAATTCAAGTGAAATAGACTAAAAGAATGCTAAACATTACAATGTGTAAAGCAGAAAGAATACTAGACTAGAGTCAGGAGTACAGACTTCTAAAACAGTAATAAATTTACAAGTACGTAGGTTTGTGATCCCGAGCAAGTCTCTTTCTAAGCCTTAATTCATCTGTTTAACTAAAAAATTATTCTAGATACACTCTAAGACTCTTCTTTCTATGAATAAATGCCACAAACATGGCATTTATTTATTTATTTATTTATTGTAACTATTTAAAAAGTATGTGTCTTTGTGGTACAACCAGACATAAAATATTCCCTGTATACAATATAAAGCTCACAACACAGTCTAACCTGGCACTGGTGTCTCATGCCTGTAATCCTAGCTACTTGGGAAGCAGAGATTGGGAGGATTGAGGTTAGAAACCAGCATAGGCAAACAGTACTCCATTTTTTCATCTCCAAAAAACCAGAGCAAAATGGACTGGACATGTGGTTCAAGCAGTATAGCACCTGCTTTGTAAGTATAAAGCCCTGAATTCAAATTCCATTCCCACCCAAAAAAGGAAAAAAACAAAAACCAAAACCCATCACCACTTATAAAATATTCTTGCAAAATGCTGATCTAATCAAATTCTGACAGCCACTTATTAGTTTACATGAAATACTTAGAGTTTAGGAATAAATAATGCCAGGAGGGTGCAAAGATACAAGTCCTTATGTGGAACACCATATAGGACCACAAACCATGTGTCTTAAAAAAAAAAGCTAATACAGGAAATACTCTAAATCACAACAGACTCAAGAAATATGACACCATAGGATACCCTAGTACAATCCCTGGCTGCTGACTCAAATAAGCCCACAGTTTGAGACAACTGGGGAAATGATAATCTTACCGAACTGGTAACACTTTGGCCATATAGGAAAAATGTCCCTATTTTTAAGAGGTACATATTTAAGTATAGAAGGGAGAGATAACACGACATGTAGAATTTGCTTTAAAGTATGTAAAACATAAAAGGAAGCAAGAAAGAAAAATGCAAATTTTGGTAGATAAATCACACACGTGAAATCTGGCTAAAGAGTTCACCGCTGGATATCATTTACTTTTCTGTGTTTAATAACAGGTACAATAATAAATTTAAAACAAAAGAATAGGTTTTTCAATAATTCATAAGCTTCCATAGTCTTACATATAATTACTGCACTGTCTCTAAGACAAGTTAAAACACCTTATCCACACAAATCTCTTAAATATTTTAGATCCAGGATTCTTTCACAAAAGAAAAAAAAGTAGCTATAACCTATATAAAGTTAACAACAAAATACATAACGAAAGCACATCTGAACCAGTAACGTAACTAGAGTATTTTTCTGTGGTGAACTGAGGATCAATGAATTACCTCATTACAACCATTAAAGTTCCATCATTCTTGCCCTGGAACCTAACTGACCTGAAAATTACAAAACAGAATTTATTGAGGAGAAAACCTTATTAAAATTAAAATGATGGAGTCTGGGAATATCTCTCAGTGGTGCAGTGGTTGCGTAGAGCATGTGCAAAGCCCCGGGTTCAAACCTCAGACCTGCTTCAAAAAAAAAAAAAAAAAAATTTAAATGATGTTGCAAATAGAACTAAATGTCTAGTTTTGTGGTTTTCAAATTGGTCTGTCCCTCAAAGATGGATTCTAACTTTTCTCTTTCATTTGCCACCCCACCAAAAACATTTTCAGGTAGAAATGAAGGGTTCCCCATTAACCCTTTCACCTAAATTTTCATTTAAGAGGAACAAAGAGTTCTGGTGTAGATACAGTGGCAAAACTAACTTCCCTTATAGAAAAGGCATCTTTGTCTTTGCTATCAAAGTAATATTTAGAAAATGAAATTTTCAAAGGACACTGGTTTAATTTTAAGATGAAACATGGGCAAATGCTATTATTTTAATAGTTTCTGCATCAAGTAAATGAAGTTTTATTAAAAGAAAGTGTTATCTCATCAACATGTTACTATTCTAGAGAGAAAATTCTAATTATAAATGCTGTTTCTTTAGGAAGTAATCCCACAAAGATTACAACTTCTCCTTTTGAAAATAAATCCTGCTAGAGTAGAAGAAATAAATACTAGAGGCAAGAAATAAATAATTCATTATAAAAACTCACTGACAATAAAAACATTGTATCTAACTGCAAAATACTAAAAGAAAAAAAGAATCTGGCTAAACTGTGACGGAAATTTTGATACAGAACAGAAAATTTGTATATTATTGTATGCCTCCCTATAAAATGTTGCCCCTGGGAAGGAAGAGGTCTTATCTGTTTTGTTCAGTCTACATCCCTCATGCCAGAGTGAACGAAGCACTTTTGTGCAGGGATGCTGGTCAGCAGCACCACACTAGGTAAGCTATTCTTTAAAGATCCACAGCCAGCACTTCTCACTGCAGGAAAAATGTCACTTGCTGTATCACCTAAAACATATAATTTTAAAATGTTGCTATCTTTCTAAGAGACCTTAAATTTGTGAATTCTGGAAATGAAACATTTTGAGTTTTTCCTGAAAAGGATGACCTTACTGAATAACTTGTAAGAACCAGTAGCTTAAAATCATTTACATTACCCATATACTTACTAGAATTGTATTTAACAACAAAAAAACTGTCCATCTTACTGTGATCTTTATGTATTCTAGATTAAAAGTAATTATTAAATATGATAAATAATGGATTTTCCTGAAGAAAAGGACTTCCATTTAGGTGAAATGCCACAAATTTACCTTTCTACAGTAGCAGACTCCTCAGAAAACTCAGTGTCAGCTGCACTTTTCCTGCTATTATTTGACCTCCATGATGATGCCAAAGGAAGCTCTTCTGAAGACATGGGCCTGGGCCTCTGGCCAATCCCAGACGGTTGTTGTAAACCTGCACATTGTTCTTCAGTGCTTAAAACAGCTATAATTGCTCGTATGCTAGCTTCATCAACTTGAGACCAAGGTTTAGATGGAGCTCTCATTCGACGTAAAAATAAGCTATGCCACTTCTGTCTGAGCTGCAGCAATAAACTGGCGGCCTGTAATAAAAGTTATCTCAGTTCACACAGATGCAAGCAAAATGTTTATCATATACATAAAAGACACTTCTTTACTAATTAAAGTCTGCAACCGTTTCCAAATGATGTATTTTATATTCACTGTAACTTACTACCAATTTCATTCATTCTGGTGCACGCATGAAATGAAATTTCTCATTTACCATATTCTAGACACTAGAGAAACAAATCAAATGAAACAGTCTAATAATGGAGACTGTAAACACTGGTTGGGGTAGAGATTCATACTGAAAAAGTAAAAGCAAAGTAAAGAAAGGAAAATATATTCAGTTCTACTCATCTAAGACTGTAGTGTCTACAAAACATCCAAATGATGTCCAGAAGGCAGCTGGATTCATAAAAGGCCTAAGCTGGATATATAAATTTGGAAGTCATCAGTGCACACACAGTGACTAAATCTACACCGGCTGTAAGGTCCCCAGAGACCATGCAGAGTAGAGAGGAACAAAGCAGAGAACTAGAGAATGTAAAGTATAAGGGATGAACACACAGATAAGAGTCAGAGAAACAGCCGAAGAAGGAATAACTATGACAAAAGGAGAATTAAAAGGGATTAATGTCACAGCAACTAATGACAAAGAAGTTGAGGCAGGAATGATGAAGAAAAACTGGAGAAGGGCAGGATTACAAAAAGGAGGTTATGAACAATAGTGCCACGTATTAGAAAGAGGTCATCAAGGACTGGTTGTGACAACCTAAAGGATACAGGTGACCTCAACAAGTACAGTTTCAGTGAAGCAAAAGCTTGGTGTGGGTTACAGTGGTGAGTGAATGGATGGTTAAAAAGAAAAATGAACCTAGCCAGTGTTGACTACTGGCAGCATAGTTGTCCGCCCTCCCAAAAAAAAAAAAGAAAAAGAAAATGGACATAGAATGATCTCTGAAAGTAGAGGTGGAATTAAGGTTTTTGAAGAAAATTTTTAATTTAAAAAAAAACAAAATTTAGGGTTGGGGGCATGGCTCAAGTGATAAGAGTGCCAGCCTTTCAAGTGTGAGGCCCTAAGTTCAAACCCCAGTATGTCCCCCAGAAAAAAGAAATCCAGAAAAAAATGAGCCAGACACCAGTGGCTCATGCCTACTATCCTAGCTACTTGGGAGGCAGAGATCAGGAGAATAGCAGTTCGAAGCCAGCGCCAGGCAAATAGTTCGTGAAATCCTATCTCGAAAATACCCAATACAAAAGGACTGGTGGAGTGGCTCAAGTGGTAGAGTGCCTGCTTAGCAAGTATGAGGCCCTGAGCTCAAACCCCAGTACTGCCAAAAAAAAAGGAAAGAAAAAAAAACACCCTTTTACCCCTTCCCAATTCAGAGGTATATGAAAAGAGAAAACAGAATGAATTCATCTTTCTCTCAAAAGGTTATACAAATCGAGTGTTCATGTACTCAGTACTTGATCTTTAATATACCCACAATGCTCAAATATGGTTTGGATGTTTGTTTCCTCTAAACTTCTTGACAAAACTTAATCACCAGTGTAACAGTGTTGGGAGCTGTGCTTTGGGGACACAACTGGAATCAAGCCCTTATAAGGGCCTGATGGAGGGAGTTCATCTCTTCTGCATTTCCACCTTCCGCCATGTGAAGACACAGCATTCCTCTGCTTAAGGACATAGGGCTTAAGATGCCATCTTGGAAACACACAGCAACCCTCATCAGCACCTTGATCATGGACTTCCCAGCCTCTAAAAACTGAGAAATAAATTACGTTCTTCATAATTCCCCAGTATGGTATTCTGTGACAGCAGTACAAATAGACTAAGACAATAGTTAATGTATAAATATTGAGAGACATCAAGTCCTCTGTTGGGAAAAAAAATGGGAGACAGTATAAGAAGGCCCTAAAAAAACTGAAAAACAAGCTGTATTCTCTAATACGAAGGGTTCAATATTAAAGATAACATTTCTATCATATTGTGCCAATTCATACTAACTAAATGAAAGAAATTTATTACCTATTAAAAAGCAACTTACCTCTGGCTCTAGTTTGAAATTAAGCCATTCATCAAGTTTCAAGGCAGCCAAGTTAGCAGTAGTTCTGTCCTCCATTTCACTGTCACTACTGTCATTGGGAATGCCATCTGCTGTCCCAACACATATTGAAAGAATAAACCACTTTTACCATCTTACATCATAGCAAAACAGTAAGCAGAATACCCTATGTGTACAAATCCTCCAAACATTCTAACAACTTGTATGGGAAATTCTCCTAATCAAGCAGATCATAAATTAAATATCAATATTTAAAAGAAGAAAAATAAGGCATATTAAAGACTACAACCTCTAACTGCAACACAAAAAAACAAAACAAATATGACAAGAACTTAAAATTGAAGTGCACTCTTCCCTGTAGGTGGCCTGAGGTGACGTGTGAAAATGGTTCACTACTCTTGACCCAGAAAATCCCACAACATCATGCAGATTAAGAGGCTCATATCTTTATGTTCACTTTAAGAACAACTAAGAATTGGCTCAGGCCATCAGGGGTATACACATCCGAAAGCCACCAAGTATCCAGTGTTACAATGGTGGAGTTGGTAGGTGTACCCATGTCAAACGGTAGGGCTGGTGGCACAAAAATAGTGCTGGATTTTCACTGCATGTGCTTAAAAATTCAGAGTAATGCCAAACCGAAGGGTTTAGATGTAGATTCTCTGGTCATTAAACATATCCGGTTGAAAAACACACCACCACATTACAGAGCTCACAGTTGGGCTAACCCATACACGAGATCCCCCTGCCACACAGACGACCTGTACTATATAGGAACAAATTGTTCCTAAACCAGAAAAGGAGGCTGCACAGAAAAAAAAAATACACCCCAGAAGAAACTGAAGAAACAAAAATTTATGGTATGGAACAAATTCTACACAAGATAAATACAAATTAAAGTAAAAAAAAAATTGAAGTGCAGTCTTTAATAAATGGATGAAGAAGAAACTAAGGCCATAAAGAAAGGTATGAAAGAACTATATACAAAAAATATGGCAGATACTCAAATCAATTCTCATGTAAATTCAGAGGGTCAAGAAAAACCATACATCTTACAAAATAGCATAAAACTGAAAGAAAAAGGAAAAATAGATAAATTAGAAAGACAAAATAGTAGAAATAGTTAAAATTATAATCTAAAAAGAAAAGATTAATGGACAACCATCTATAAATTTAATAAAGCATACATCTATGTACAAAATCAGAAATAATATAAATTTATAAAAATAGAAAATATTTTACAAAATTAATACAAGATAAAAAGATGTACTAATGTATAATTATAAATTTGACATCTTCAAAGAAATTCATTATATTCTATAAAAAAAATTTAGCAAAATCCAAAGAACAAGCTATAGAAAAGCCCAACCCTACTTGAGGAAATATTTAAAGATGTCCTCAAAAAATGCCAACATAGAAATTCAAAGCACCAACAAATTTCTTAAATTTTCAAGGAGTCAAATTATAACCAATTCATTTCATAAGACAAATCTGAACCTAATCCTAAAACCTTGTTAACACCTAAAACATAAAGATACCTGAATGCACACAAGCACACATACCACACAAACTATATAAATCAGCCTCACCAATGAACATAAATACATTAGTTTTAAATAAAATGCTACAATATTCAGCTGTGTGATAAATCCTACTGGATCCAAAGAAGGTTCATTCTCAGAACTAAATAATTCTCTAAGAAAACTACATACCCCATCAATAGGCAAAGCAAATTCTGATTATGTGAACAAATGCTCAAAACTATTTTTTAAATTGTATACATTTTTACTATAAGACAGAATTCTTCCCTAGTTTAAAGTCACTATTAAGACAATAAATTAACATTATGATCAATGGTACAACTTTAGAATTTAAACCTTTAAAATTCATCAAGCAAAGAGGGACATTAATACAGTATCCCAAAGTATGGAAAAAGAAACAAAAGGAAAAAAATGCTGGTAACAAACGAAACATATTACCACCTGCAAGTAATATAATTTAAGAAACAGAAAATCCAAAGGATCAATATGACATAGTGAATATAACAGTTTACAATAATAAATGGTACAGATAATGGGTGAACTACACTTTTAAACCAGAATCAACCTCATTAAGAAAAATATTAAAAATCAAATTATAAAAAAGAAAAATACTTATCACATCAAGAGGAATGAAATGTTCTCATCTATGGACAAAATATGTAAGACTAAGATAAGACTGCATTAAATGTGACAGAAAAAAAGGCTAATACCTTCAAGATCGCATTACTCAAGTATTCAGGAAAAATATTAGTACCCAAATAAGTAAATGGGCAAAGATGAAAGAAAGAACTCAACTAAAAGGAAATAAACAAATGCATAGGGAATTATTCTTTATGACAAGAACAGAATTAAAAGTGCACATGAAAAGGCATTATTTTGTAAGCTAGCAAATACCATTTTTAACGCTAATACCCAATGATCGCATAACTGCAAAAAAATTCACTATGGCTAGGAATAGAGGAAGGACCATACAATCTATATACTTTTATAAAGTAATTTCCATTTCAAAGAATTTTAACTAATTTTATTAAAAGAATGAAAGCAAGATACATAGATGAAGGTGTGAAGGTATCAACACCCCCACCATAGCCACACTCTAATGAGTTACCTACCATCCTATGTCTACTTTCTCCAAATAATCTCAACCCCCTCTGGGTCCATCCCGCCACTGAAATTACTTTTGTCAAAATCATTGAGTGCCATTCAGACAAATCCAACTTACAATTTTCAGTCCAAATCTTCTTCCATCTTTCAAAGTCAACAGACCTGACCACTACTTTCTTGAAATATATTTACCTCCAACACTGGGAGCACTCTTTCTTCCTCTAATCTACATTCTCTTGAGAAGTCTTCTTGTGTCTTTAAGTATCATTTACAAACCTGATGGCTCCCAAAATCTGTATTGCACTGGCCTCTTCCCTGAGCTCCAACAGCTCAGATATGTATATCCAACTGCCTTTTAAAAAAACATTTGATGTCTCAGTCAGCCTAGACTTAGCTTGCCTGAGCAGACCTCTTAAATTTTCTCCTACACAACCTGCTCCACCCAGTTTTTTGAATTTTAAATATCATCATTCAGAAAGCTATTACAGCCATAATTCTGAGATTTATACCTGACTCTTCCCTTTCCTCTATCACCCATATTCAATGCAGCAGAGACTAATGTCTCCAAAATAATTCTGAATCTACTTCTTTTCATATTAGCTGCCACACTAGTTCTAAGCTATCATCAGTCATAAGACCACTCCAAGAGCCTCCTTCCTACCTGCCCCCACTCTTCCCTTCTTGTCCCTTAATCACCCATTCCCTTAGCCAAAATGAACTTTTCAAACAAAAACCACATTATGCCCTCACTCCCTAACTTAAAATCCTAATCCATGCACCTTCCTTTCTACGTAGGTCATTGCTCTCTACTACTGATAAATGTGCCCCAATCACAGAGCCTGTCTGTCAGTTGCAAAACCATTCATTTCCTAGTGTAGAATCCTGGAGTTTCCCGTCTTCCTCCACAGGTAGAATGTTTCTGCTTCTTCACATGGCTAGCTTCTCCTACTTCAAGCCTCAATTTAAGTTTCATCTTCTCAGAGCAACTTGTCTAGGCTTTCTTTCTAAAGTAGGTTACCCCTAAGGCAGTCCATTTTTTTATTTCCTTAAAGGCACTGTGAAAATTGTCAATTTATTTACAGTCTGGCTGTAGCCTCTACTGTGTAAAGTCCTGAAGATGGGAGCATCTACTTTTCTGTTATAGCTATAAAGCTTAGCATGGTATCTGATAAATATTTACTGAATTGCTGAATAGTAAATATGAAACCATCCAAATGCCAAACTGTAAAGGAACACTTTAAGTGCACTATGCCACTTCAAGGTAACAGAACATTTTGCAAGCCATTAATATGAAATATTAAAAATGTTTATAATATTCTATACAATGAAGGCAGACTATGAGAAAAATAATTTAAAATATGTAAACAAGTAGAAAAAAATATAATAATAAAAAGTGTTTGCGTAAGGATAATGGGATTATTAGTGACATATTATTCCTTTCACAAATTGCATTTATGTCAAATTACTACTTAAATTCAAGTGGAAAACAAACTTTCCTATCAGCAAGATTAGCCAATATGCAGAAACTGATGTCATGTTACCTCAGAAATCATTTCAAGAGCATCTTAGTATTTCCTAATTGTCTCACTATTTTAAAAGTGAGCTACTACTACGCAAATTTTTATAATTTGATGATTGTGGTTTAGTTCATTTCATATAGATTTCATTTCCTTCTCAATACATTTACCTCTAAAGGATGAAGGCTCCTGAAGAGCATTACTTGCCAACCTAGCTGGTCCACAGAATACCAACACAGTGACAGGGGTCACTGCTGAGCAGCATCTAATATTAGCTATTCTGTGGGCTCTGGTCATTTCATCATAAATAAGCCAATCTGTAGGCAGGGCCTGGATTGCTGCAGCTTGACCATTGGCTGGAGGAATCTATTAGGAAAACAAATCAAAAAGTTGTTAATTGTATTTATCACCTAACTTACTGGTAATACTTTTAAGTCCTTGATGAAACAGATGATGAATGTTAGTACCCAACCAAAAACTAAAGCAAGTCATTGCTCACGTAATTTGTATTAAAAGTCTTCATCATTCTTCCAGTGTTACCTCTTCTAACTCTTAAAATTTAATCAAAATTTTGTTCCAATTTCTCATTATGCATATATAACTAACTAATTTCTTAAAGCACACAGGTATTTGGAGTACTTTTTGTTGACCTTCAGCTACCTAACCTGCTTTCACCTCAAGGCCTAAGAGAATTAAAAATGTTTTACCTTTTTATATTGAGGCTGACTGAGAACTGAAGTGGGATGAAATCGTACTTTTTTCTCCTTTGGCCCTGTCAATACTACATTCTCTCTGTCCACATGGACTAAATTAGGATACATGCCTGCCACCAACGCAGCTTTAACGACAGCCCAGTTCTCGGAGTTTGTGTTAACATCTCGAATGTCACCACCACCTCGTGCTCTAACAAAACCTAGGGAAGGGGAAACAAAAAACACATTATACTTTTCTATTGTGCAAAAGATATTTAAGACTTGTGTACTTTTGTATAAGTCACATAAGTTTAATGATACTCAAATTCCACAAAAAACAAAATCTATTCTGGAAAGTCTAAGATACAGAACCAATATAGGAAGGTCTGTATCTACTCAGGCTGGATTTAGGACTTTTTTTATTGGGGATTTAGCAACTTGTTTTTAGTGTACCTCTCTTTTGGAGACAGACTAACATCAAACTCATGATATTCCTACCTCTGTGTCCTGAGTGCTAGGACTGCAAGTATGACCAGCTCTAAATGTACATTTTTGCAGTAAAGTTCTTCACTAGCTGCTATCACAAATATACTAAGTTCCCAGAAACTCAAACCATTCTTCTATTATCAATAATGTTTTAGTTATGACAGACATTAATTCTGAGGGTGATGTCAAGCAATTGCACAGTATTCTTGCTTAAGTTTTAAAAATCCTTCCTTCATATTCCTCAAATTTGAGAAAACTAAATCCTCTGGTTATTTCCTTATGTTACTTTGTTACTCAGGTACTTCAGCTAATACATGAATCCAGGTTCTGATACTTTTCTTTTGACTTTTGCTTCAATGTACTATGCTATTAGAAAAAAAAAATCCTAAGAAACAATTGTAAAAGGAAACAAAAACATTACAATCCTCTTGGAAAAAACAATCAAGTATCAGTATTAATATCAACCTATTTAAATTTTTACAATTTCTGTTCCATAGAGCTAAAACAACTATTCATTAGTAGTGATAAAACATGCACTATCAGCTTTTCCATTCCACAAGCAATAGTTCAGGTCATGTGAAGTCTACAAAGAAACTAATGAATGTGAAGTGTACAATGTGGTAATGCTATTAAAATAAGGGAGCTGGCATCAGCTAACACAAGAAATAAGAGGTGTGGGTAGGGCACTGTTAGAAGTTAAAACAGATTGTGAGAAATTTTACCTGACGCTCTAAGTTGACCAAGCAACTGAGTTCTCATGCCAATAATTATTTCCATGGTAGCTTGTGAGAGAAAATTCTTTTCACAAAAGGCTCGCTCCCACCCATCACTTCGTGCTTTCTGCCATGCCTATAAAAATAATTACGTAACAAGACTCTTTTACCAATCAATTCTTGGTGAGGCAACAAAATAATTGAAAACCACTACATCAATCACTCAAAGTCAATTCTTATTCTAATTACTGAACAAAAACAAAAAGCTTACAATCAAACGAAGTTTGTCATTCATTAAAATTTATACTCAAATAATATGACAGTCATTGAGTTTGTAAAATCCCAATATGACAAGCTTTGTAAGAATTTTACTTTCTCAATATAGTTGCTTAATTTTATTTCACAAAAAATGTGGACACTTTCAACTAAACCACAATACTTTTATATCTAAGAATCCTACAACTCTAAAAATAACCTGCATATTAGCCGCCTACTCTCTGTAAGAATAAAAAGGGGGATTTCCAGAAATCATAAATATACAGTATAAAAAAACCGACCCTTTGAAAATGAGTTCTCTTGCTTTAGAATATTAACTGAAAGACCAAAAAAGCAGCTTATCCATCTGGAACAACAAAAAACATAGGAATTGTACTCCTAATTTCCCTGACATTATCATTCAAATGATCAAATACATATGGTAACTAATACCACAACTAATAACACTAAGTCATCCACCATTCAGTAATACTCATAATTAAAAGAGCTCACAATTATTTTTAAAATTATGTGTTCGAAAAATTTTGCATGCCTGAAAAAGAGAACTTTCTCTATAAACAAAGAGAAATTTTCAAAAACTATCCAGATACAGCCTACAAAATAGACATTTAAAAAAAAAAACTATACAGGCACAATCTGTATTCAACAGAATTTAAGGATAAAGATGTCTATCTTTTTAAGAAATAATATATTCTTCACCATGTATCTGAATTTCAAAAATCATATTGTGTTTCTCTTCCTCAGAAGTCAACTTTCCCTATCTTTTCCTCAATTGCTCACTAAAATCTTAAAAGGTCTTAAATGATTTTTGGATTTTCTGCTTTATAAAATTAAATTCTTGGCACAGTATTCCCAGCACACAAGAAAAAGATGTACCTAAAAAATCCAATAGACTTGAATTCAAGATTCTTTTTCTTTTTGAGACAGGGCCTCACTATGTAGCCCAGACTGGCTTCAAACTCATGACCCTCCAGCCTCAGATTCCTGAGTTCTGGGATTACAGAAGAGCACCACCATGCACAGCTCAAATTCAAGGTAATTTTCTTCTAAGCTTTGTTCTGTATACTTTAAATAACATATAAGGTTCTACACTAAATTTTTAGAGCATTCCTTGCCCGAGACATGATTTAAAGATAAGGAATTCAGTATTAAAAAATAAATACAGGTATAAATATAAATAACTACATACACTACATACATGTATCTTTATATGGAGAAAATGGAGGAAAAAACAAAGCAGAGAAAAGCTGATAATTTTAACATATCAGCAATCAAAACTAATGGAATTATTTTTATCATTTTTAAATTGCTACACTTGCCCCAGAAATGTGTTCAACATAGTATCCTCAGAAGTAAATGACAGTAATGATACCTGGAAGGCTCTGAGAAGTGCCATATGGTCACTGAAAGTTCCTGCAGTGAAACGTTTCCTGCAAAGCATAGCTGCACGTTTTTGAGAGGCCTGGGTAGGCAGTACAAAAGGATCTCGATATGCCAGTGTGCAGGCAATTGTAAGGATGGGGTCCAGACACTTTAAAACAACAGCACACAGGACCATTTTACCAAGATGTGGCTCTACTGGCAAGTCAGCCAAGTGATATCCAAGTTCAGTGAGATCTTCCCACGCATCCATTGCATCTATTGTCTAAATGAAAAGATGGAGAACACATTTTTGACATGACTCAAAACTATATTTAACCTAAAAACCCATAAGAAATAATATAATCTTTTTGCATTAAAATACATCCCATAAAAATGTTATTTTGCTTCGTGTGTGTGTGTGTGTGTGTGTGTATTTTCTACCCATATTAATTACAAGAGTACAATATGAAGTACATGACCATCTAAGGGAATGTTTTTTAAAGAACAAAGTTAAGACACATTCTCATTTGGTTTAAATTTCAAGTAAAAAAAAATGGTACAATAAAACTATTAAGACAGCAAGTAGGAGGGGGAGGGTAAACAAAAGATGGTAAAGGAGGGTGAATATGGCTAAGGTACTTTCTATACATGTAAGAATATGGAACACTGAAACCTGTTGAAGACATTTTAAGAAGGGTAGTGGGGAAAGAGGCAGAATGATGGTGGTGATGAACCAAACCAGGGTGCAATATATGTAAATATGGAAATGTCACAAGGAAACCCCCTGTATAACTATCATATACTAATAAAAACATTTTTTAAAAATGTGATGAATCAACCTTGTATTCCTGGGATATACCCTATTTGTTTGTGATAATTAATATTTGTATATATTTTTAGAATCTATTTGTTGAAATCTTGTTAAGAAATTATGTATGTTCATGGAAATAAAAGGAAAGAAGACACCAACCTTAAGCATTTGTACAGCATTTCTTACAATTAAAGCTGGTGGAGGTTCAGGAGCTTTCATAAGGAAATCAGCAATGGTACAATTAACTGGGGCTAACAGCTTGGTATGTAAACAAAGCTCCTGCAAACAAAGCAGCAAGTAACTTTGAAAAATTAAAAAGAACATAATACCAACCTTAATTTTTATAGAAGTCACAGACTGTACAACAGAGAGAACAATGTCTTTCAATACAGTTCATGGGCTCACACTTTGTCCTCCATGCCAGAACCTTAATCAATATCCTCCATGGACTCATAACAAAATAACCATTGCCCCATCTGACAACTTCTCTTCACACAGTACTTACACATAACACTCAGAGTCACTATCCAAGAACAAATCTTTTCCCCTCTTTATCCTCACTATATTCTACAATTGTTTATCCATTCAGCAAATATTTATAGGTGCAAGGCACTATTCAGCAAGTTGGAGAAAAATAGGATAGACAACAAGCTATTTTCCCAAAGGAAGTGACACAAACTAATAAAATGTGCTTGAGAAACAAAAACTAATGGTGTCAGTAGAGACAGGAGGAACAGGAAGAAATAAAAGTGGAGACACACAAAGGATGGGTAATTTAGGTTCTAGCTAAGAATTTTCAATTTTACACCAGGGAGAATAGAAATTTCCTATAGGCTCTAGAAAGCAGGAAATCATCTTAAGCATGTAGACACCAAATACAAGTCCCTGCATGTCTTTAAAAATGTGGAAGCCAGCAACTAGCCTAATACACTAAAGAATCAAATAAACGCACCTCTGGTAGTTTTCCCTAGAAACTATGTGGTATATGGTTGGTCCATGAAGTTAGAAAAACAATTAATAAAGGCCTGGAGATCTTAATGAACTCAGTTCCAAAACTTTCAAAGCAATCTTGGCATCTCACACTGAGATTAGGGCATTAACTTAAATAATGTGGTTTCTCATCCTACTGAGAATGATCTAGGTCAACACTATGTAGTTAAGACTCCTAAAATGCTATATTTAAAAAAAATCACTTCTAAACTGCCCTAAACTCTAAGTGTAGTCCAATAACCTTTTAAAAATGTGCAGGTTTAGCTGGGTGCTGGTGGCTCATACCTGTAATCCTAGCTACTGTGGAGTCAGAGATCAGGAGGATTGCGGTTTGAAGCCAGCCTGGGCAAATAGTTCACGAGGCCCTGAGTTCAAGCCCCAGTACAACAACAAAAAAAAAAAAGTGCACGTTTACTAAGTTTTCCCATATAGAGAAAAATCTCATTATAGACGTATCTACCTTCCATAATATGTAATCCACACAATTATGTTTATTGAATGGATATTTTGAAAGTTCACTTGGTAGAAATCACAATGGTCCCTCTCTCCTTCACTCCCACACACAAAAGGTTTTTAGAATTAAACAAGTTTCTACCTGTAACGGCATCCTCAAAAGTTCTGGAGTCTGAAATTCCAACATATTCTGAAATCGGAGTCTACTAAACAGACGGAAACAAATTCCAGGTCTACATCGCCCCGCTCTTAAAAATAAAATGCAAAAGTCAAGACTTAAAAATGGAATAAGAGCCATAATAAAGAAACTGTAAAGTCATGTGATTTAGAAGAAAAATGAATCAGGATCAAGACATCTCAGTTTGAATCTTTACTTACCATCTATGAATCCTCTGACTTCGTCATCAGGGAGTGAATTATTTCATTTACTGAGTGAGATTCATAAATGTTACCTACCTAATACACCTTCTAAGATTATGGCAAAACCAAAAGAAATAACATACATTTGAAAGCAAGTAAATATCAAAGCACGAATAAATGTTTGGTAATTTAAATTCCATCAATTTTACTGAGCTGTTATCAAGCACTATTTAGGCCCACTGGTTAGTTGTGCAAATTATGCATTACAAAACTCCAAGGAATTGCCATTTATTCCATCATCCTAGAGACTTGGATAATTTGGGGAAAAGAGAAGAAAAATATAATGAAGAAAAGCAGTCTTTTTAGTTCGCCCAAAGTCACGATACCAGCTAATGGAAGTTACTGACTACATTAACACAGTAGAGACAGAGAAACATCCCCATCCTCGTGGCGCTCACAATCGTGAGTGGCAAACAATATAAGGACTATAAGATCTGACATTGTTGGACTACTTCTTTCTTCATCAAATACTTTTTGACAATATACACTTCAGCTCAGCCACCCAACCAGCAATCTCTGAGGAATTCCTACCTTTGCCTAGACCTTAAATGTTGTGTACCTCTGAAGTTGTACCTCAGTCTTCTGCTCTCCTATGCTACCCTCTCTCCTGGGATGATCTTAATCAACCTCCTAGCTTCAGTTTCCACCCATCCTAGAAACCCCTAATCCCAATTAGAGTCCTATATACTTCAGAAGCCTCTTAGGCAGCTCCACTTGGATTTTTCAGTCAACTCAAACTCAATACAACCAAAAATTAATTTTTCTCAATATAAACACTCTTTGCATTCTCTCTGACAGCACCATCCAATTTTCCAAGTGAGAAAACTGAATGACATCCTTGATTCTACTCTTCTCCTTACCCCTCACTCACAGACATACAATCAGTCCCCAGTAATTCTCTTTAATATTTCTTCAATTATTGACTTCTCTTTGTTTCTACCATCACTGCAACAATCCAGGCTACCTCTTCTCTCCCTTATGTAAGTGAAAGTATTAATGAAAGAGACTCTGAGTGGGTCCTAGTGTATTAAAATCTGTAATTTCTGATGTTTATCTCTGATAATATACTAGTAACAGTATAAATCCAGCTCATTGTATCAAGACACAGTGTCATAAAGAGAACTGACACAATAAGAAGATAATGCTTTGTGGGCATTCTATGAAACTGTAAAAAGTACAGAAATTAGCCCAGAAGTCTTCAATATGAGGCTTCCTTCTCCCTGCCCACCCCGGTTTTTTGTTGTTGTTGTTGTTGTTTGAGACAAGTCTCACTGTATACCCCAGGCTGGTCTCAAACTCAAGCTCCTTCTGCTTTTAACTTCCAAGTACTGTCATTACAGGTGTGTACCCCCACACTTGGTACATGAAGCATTATTTTAAAGTCAGCATGTGATGTTTTCTGGCCAATCAACATGCAAGGTAAGTTATAATTACTAAAAAAATATACTTTTTAATCTTGGCTTTTTAAAAATAAAAAAGTGGGAAAGGAGTGTAGCTCAAAGGTCAGACACTTGCCTACCATGCAGGAAGCACTGGGTTTGATCCTCAGCATTGCAAATAAATATTTCAAAAACTAAAAAGTAATTCAAGCACATAATAAAATAACCAATTGTACATATAAATATGTACATATGTTAAGTCTCCTTCTTCCATGAGTCCTACAAATATTCCTTTCTCAGAGTCAAAAACTATTATTTTTAATGTTTCTCCCAGACTCTTTCATGTATGCATCTATACATATATACTAACATATATGTGAAAACTAACTCTATATAAAAACATACAGGTCTACACTTTTCCTTTTAAAAGGTCCCTAGCATACCAACATGTGCCTGTAACAATTTATTTCATCACTTTACTACTGATGGACACTACACTGTTCTCAAGCTCAATGTTACAAAGAACTTTCTTGAACATACATAATCAGGATAAATCAAGAGAAATGGAATCCATGGTCAAAGAATAGATTTGATAAACAGTTTCAACTTGGCCTCTGAAGGAATCATACCAATCTACACTCATATCAGTAAAATATGAAAGCCTACTGCATGTTTTCCCCACTGTGTTGTGTATTTTGTAAAACATTGTCATCAAAGTTTGTCTGATAAGTAAAAGAAAAAAATTGTACTTTGCTCATTTCCATTCATTTGGTAGACATGAGGTAAGGTAGTGTATTAAGAAGACAGGCATATTCTTTATTTTGGTAAACTATTTTATTCTTTACATTTTATTACTGGTTTTTGTTTGATTTTAAAGGGCTTTTCTGTATACTAAGAAACTCAGTCCTTTATTCTGTATTGCAAATGTTTAAAATTTTTGCTTTTGTTTAAGGTTCTTACATCTTAGCTTGAATTATACTACGTAGTTTCAGTTTAGCATAACCTAAATTTAGATTTTGAAAAAGTTTTACAATATTTTGCTTTGTAAAGAATATAAAAACTAAGACTACTGTGAAAGCTAACATTTCATAGAAGGTGAAACAGATAGCAAACATGCAATATATATGGAAACATTTCTATTTTATGGCAAGTGAGTAAATGTACATCAAATGCATTACCTTCCTTTCCGCTGTATGGCACTAGCTTTGGAAATCCATACCATTTTTAACATTGTAACAAAATTCAGTGCATCAAAGGATTTCTGCAATATTTAAATCATCTTTATGTTAAAACATAAAAAGTATTTAAAAGATAATAGCAAGAAATGTTATCAAGTTATTTTAACATGAAGTTTAACTTAAAGTCCACTCTTGATTAAATAATTGTAAGAGTACGGATATTTAAAAATTAAGTTTTCTGGGTTACAAAATTCTAAGGAAAAAGACTGAAAATTAAACTAAACCCAGAAGAGGTGTAAAACTCCCCACTATGCTCTGCAGAGCTACCTGCCATTCTCTGCTTACAGGTGAACAGTGGCAGGCCAGGTCTCATGAGACACCAAGATTGGGGAAAAACTGATCTATTGCCTTGAGGTAGTTTTTCCATCACATTTACATCACTGTAAGGGACAGGACTAATCAAGCAAAGGCATTTTCTGAAATACTTCTCAGGGAGCTCATCTGAAGGACCAAGAAAAACCACTAAACTAATCTTACCCCAAAGTGAGGCATTTTTAACTACTTCCACTTTATCTCTTGCTGAGCTACTAACAAAGTTCACCTACCCTGAATGTTATAAAAAATGCCATACTGCCTCAAAGAACCCCAAAGGAAAATTTGTTGTACAGAAATATTTTAAAAGAATACATTCCTAGCCAGGCACAGTGGCTCACACCTGTAATCCTAGCTTCCAAGGAGGTAGAGATCAGAAGGATCACAGTTTGAGGTCAGCCCAAGCAAAAAGTTCATGAGACCCTGTCTCAGCCAATAGCTGGGTACAGTGGCACATGCCTATCATCCCAAGCCATATAGGAAGTAGAAAAGGAGGACTGCCCAACCTTGCCTGGGCATAAAGAGAGACCCTATCCTAAAAGTAACTACACAAAAAGGGATGGAGGCATGGCTCAAGCTGTAGAGCACCTGCCTCACAAGTGCAAGGCCCTAAGTTCAAACCCCAATACCACCACCAAAAAAAAGAACACTTTCCTAACTATATACTTCAAGCATTCAATCCATAAAATAACTACATAGAGCAAATAATAAAAATGTACTTTCATGAGTAGCTTAATTATAGAATTTTTTACAAAATATGCTTACTTTTTAATGTTTCATTTGTCAATATTAGATATAAAATAACTTCTGACACTATAACCTTGTTTAAGCCATGATTTATTTAATAAATACCTAAAGGAATTAATTTCTAAAATATTCAAAATCTACTTCCATCAGCTTAGATAATTTTAGAGCAAAACAAACTGAACACTTAATGGCTTATACTTGAGCTTTATTGATAGTATTCACTATTATTCTATTACAAAAGAAATACTTTTTCCTCATACCAGTTGTAACAAATATAACCAAATTCTGTAACAAAAAACTTATTCTATGTTAGATATTCCTAAAACTTATATTAAAATTTATATACAGGTATATATAGCTCTACTATAAAAAAATTTGCCCTCTAAAAAATGAATAATATCTCTTCCCTTGAAAATTCAATGAGCACTGCCACTTTCATTCTCACAGTGAATGAATCTACCAAAAGTTAGGGACAGTGAGAATTGCTAGGCATGGGACTGGGGTGTGACTCATGTGGTAGGTACATCACCTTCCTAGCAAGTGCAAAACTGAGTTCAATCCCTAGTACTGAGAGAGAAAGACAGAGAGAGAGAGGAAGAGGAAGAGAAGGAAGGAAGTGGGGGTGGGGAGAGAGAGAGCGTGAACGTGGAACAAGTGAGCTGCCAGGTATTCCAAACTAAAAAAGAAATAAATGTTACCTTTTATTTATATAAGGGGTTGGAAAACTATTTTTACAGATCAGAAGTCTGATGTTTGTTGACCCTAGTTTATATAACTTTTGGCTTCCTTTTTTTTTGATAGGTTTTTGCTTTTTTGGTGGTTTTGGGGTTTGAACTCAAAGTCTTGCACTTAGTAGGCAGGCATTGCACCACCAGAGCCATGACCCCAGCCCTTTTTGCTTTAGTTACAGGAAGGGTCTCATACTTTTTTGCCAGAGGCCAGCCTCAGGCTGAGATCCTTACAATTTCCACCTGAGTAGATGGGATTGCTTCTCCCATCAAGATTGTTTTGAACTAAGTATCCTGAACACCTACTGTATGTGAGGCATTGGTGCTATAGCAATGAGTACATGATCCATCCCCACAAGTAGAAGGAAATCAGAAAATAAGCAATCAAATTACCACACTGTGTGACAAAATTTTTACTGTAGTCAAATCCTTTACTTTCTTTTTAATGAGTAGAAGCTAAATTTTGTGTAATTTGCTGAAATAACAAAATAGATCCTATATACTGATTTAGCTTTAAATATTTACTATATTAAATTCATCTACAAATACATTTTCCACTCAACTGAACTGTTCATAAAAGTATTTGCAGGAACAGAACTCAGCCTTCTTCATTTAAGTCAAAACACAACTTATCCATACATACCTCTTTCACTTTGCCAGAATCAATAACAAAGACAACATCATTGACTGTGATGCTGGTTTCAGCAATATTAGTGGAAAGGATCTACAATAGGAGGACATTGTTTTATGATCAATATGAAAACAGACAATGACTAATAAAAATGGAAAAAACAAGATTTTATGAAGCTTACTATTTTTCGAACACCTGCAGGTGGGTTTTTTAATACCTTCTTTTGATCAGATGTTTGCATATTTGAATGAAGCATAAAGACTTGGTATCTATTGACAATTGAAAGAAAAAATACAGTATAGTTCCTGTCTGTTATTTCGAACAACAAATAGAAAGCTTTCGATTTTACCTATGTGTATGGTCAGCAAAGCGCTTGTCATCAAACAGGATGCGATCCCTCAGCCCAACAATTTCATCGTATCCAGGGAGGAAGATCAACACTGCACCTTGGAGAAGAATGCTTGATATTAAATCTTGTGCACCTAGAGATCGTCACAGAACTAACTGTAATTATCTCACATGTTTTCATACGCTGGTAAACTATCATAAAATGTCAGTTACTCGTGTATTAATATCAATGCAATTATATAAAAATTTGTACCATCAAAATACTAATTTTAAATGAATGCATTCATTTTGTTCCAGTTCTCTTAGACATTTATTTACCAGCATCACAGCTATGGCAGATATTGTACAGAAGATGCATGATCAAATCCAAGTCAACTTTCTCATCATCAAAACTATGATGATAAGCTTTCAGGAGCTCTCTGTCTTCTGCACTGAGGTCATTTCCATTTGTTTGAACCAGAGAACTTTCATCCAAATTTCCAAATTCCAGCGAAGCACTAAAAAACAAGATCAAGTCAGTTTTCATTAAGAAGAGTAAATTAGAAATAAGGGCAAAATAGTTTCTGCTGGGTATTGAGGGGGTGGGGGGAAAGGGAGGGGGCAGAGAGGGTAGTAAGGGAGGGGGTGGGGGCAGGGGGTAGAAATGACCCAAGCCTTGTATGCACATATGAATAATAAAATAATAAAAATAAAAAAAAAAAAAAAAGAAGAGTAACTCCCAAAGGCTAACAATTCTATATGGCCTTCAAATTTCCAACATATCCTAAGGCAGGTAGGAGACACAATGCACTAGCTAGAACATAATTCATGTTTTTCTTTCAAAGGCATTATTGAAGTAAAATCTGGCAAGTGCTTTTGAGAAAAATCACATCTGTAGAGATTTTTCCAAGGAAATACACTAACGACCCATAAGCACATGAAAAGGTAATTGACATCATCTGTCGTTACAGAAATACAAAGCAAAATCACAACAATACCACTCCACATCCAGTGGGATGACTACAGTAAAAAAGATAGATAGTAAGTGCTGGGGAGGGTGCAGAGGACCTCCTACACTCTGACCAGGAATACAACATGGTGCAGCTGCTTTGGAAAACACTATAGCAGTTCTTTAGCAGTCTTTAAAAGGTAAACAAGGTGTTACCATATTCCCCAGTAATTCTACTTCTAGAGATAAATGGGAAAATTAAATCACATGTGTCTGTCAATTAAAAATCTGTATACAAAATGTTCACACCAGAATTTTTCATAATAGTCAAAAAGTGGAAATAATCCAAATGTTCACAAATTAACAAATGTATATCCATACAATGGAATATTATCTGGTCATAAAAAGGATAAACTTTGAAACCATTATGTAAAGTGAAAGAAGCCAATTACAAGACTCCATTTATATGAAATGTCCAGACTAGAAATAGGAAGTAGACCAGCAGTTGGCCTACAGCTAGGAGGGTTGAGGGAAATAGGGAGTAAACGTAACGAGTGTAAGCTTCTTTTTCTGATGATGAAAATGTTCTAAAATTGACTGTGGTGATGACTGCATGAGTCTGAGCATACAAAAAATATCACTGAACTGTACATCTGAATGTACAAATTGTGGAATGTGAATTATCTCAAAAAGTTTTTTGATCATTTCTATTTTTCTTAATAGATTGTTTCTAATTGTCCGCTATTATAAGCAATATTCTGACAAATGCCCCACATAAAAGAAAGTCTACGGGTAATTGTATAATAAAAGGAGGAAGATTATGCTAGTTTCCAAAAGCCCAGAATGAGCACAAATGACTGAAATGACTTGTTTCATCCTGTATATAAACATACCCAACTGCCATCACTGGCAATTATCAACAGGGTATAGGAAGTTCAATTTAGTTCAGTTGCTCTTAAGAAGCTCAGATTGTTTTCAACAGGGAAAATGTTAAATTCACACAACTGCAATATTTTGAATTTCAAATTCTGTTTCAAAATTTTCTAAGTTTATCATTTCTTACTTTTTTATAAGCAAATGAAGAACAGTCTTAGTTTAAAGCTATCAATATCAATAATCTAGCAAACAAATTTAATCTTATACACGGAAATGTCACAATGAAATTTCCTGTATAGCTATCTTATACAAACAAAAATGTCTTTTTTTTTTCAAAAATGGAGAACAGGAAGGTAAAACAGATCCTGTCTGGGGGCTGGCACCAATGGGAGAAGGATATAAGGAAAGGTTGTAAAAGGGTGAATATGGTGGGAATATTATGTACTCATGTGTGAAAATTAGAAAATGAGACCTGTTGAAACTGTTCCAGGAATGGGGGGAGTGAGGATAAAGGCAAATGGAGGGGGTAAATTCAACTATGATATTTTGTAAGAACTTTGATAAATTTCACAATGTACACTCAGTACAATAATAAAAAGTTTTAAAAATTTAATCTTAAATATTTGAAACTTATAATTGATAATGTTATGATCTATGGAATAAAAAGAAAGCCCAATTGGCCATGATAATTAAAAGTACTACCTAGGAAACTGCTTTACTCAGTAAACGAGTGTCTATGGGAAGAATGTAGGGAACAGTCAAAGGGTTAGGTACTATTTACTGAAATGACAACAAAACTTTCTAGATCAGAATTGGCATTTGTTTCTATCAAGAATTTTGAGAATGGAACCTACACTGTCAGTGAGATTAAAATGATACAACTTCACACTTCAAATATTTACTTCTTGCTAATGCCTGGGACGACATCTATAGAATTACAAAACCCAGGTCAAATGAAACATGTTATTTGTTCTTGTTTCCCTATATTTTAACTTCAGACTCCATTTTTTTTTCTTTCTTGAGAGTCTTATAGGCTTTAAACAAATAGAGGCTTACCAATGAATTATAAAAACATTAAAATTTTCCTTTCATACCTAAAGGTCTACATAACTTATCTAAAATATCAAATTGAGGTTTATCTAGTCTCTAAAAAAGATAGTTAGGAACCAGGGATATAGACTAGCGGAAGAGTGCTGTGCAGCTATACAGCATTAACAAGGCCCTGGGTTCAATCACTAGCCTCACACCCCTCCCCCCCCACCAAAAAAAAGAAATCATTAAATTGGCTTCATAGAACTGTTCTACTTTATTTATTTTTAAATATTATTATTATTGTATAATATGACATTTACAAAAGTTCTTACGATGTATCATAGTTGAATTCACTCCATCATTCTCCTTCATCCCCGCCTACACCCTCATTTCTAGAATAGTTTCAACAAATCTCATTTTTCCATTTTTAATAAATGAGTACATAATATTTCCACTCCTACACCCTTTCATATATTCTCCCCTGTCCCACAGTAACAACTCCCAGACAGGACCTGTTTTCTTGTCTCCGTTTTGAATAAAGGCATTTTTGTTCATGATAGCTATACAGGGAGTTTCATTGTAACATTTGCATTTTTAAAGTACATATATTACCCTTCTGATTTCTCTTTCTGCTTTTTCAAAGTTATGACAAAAATCTGTAGTCATACTACCTAGGACCTTTTAAAGTGTTTTAGTCATTTCTTTTGGTATTTACTGCCATACTTCTAAGCAACATGCACTTTTTCTATTTATTAACAATTTAGTCGTTACCAGTGAACCTCCAACTACTGAATCACCACCTCCGCTGCCATCAACTTTCCTCCTGCTCCAAACTCTACAAATTTCATGAAATCTTCATCCAGCCTTTTACTATAAATAACCATGTAAGCAAGATTTATTGTGAGCAAAATTGTCAACTATGATAACACCTTCCTTCTTCTGCAACTTTTGGCTTTTCCCAGGGTAATTATTATTTATTTTTTATTTGCTTAGTGTTCTGTGAACTGATCATTAAATCTTCCCAGGTTCTCCCAAGGACTCATAAGGCTTTTACTTAAAACTACCAGGTGATTTATTTTCCTCTCAGAGACTTCCTTCCTGGAGCCCTCCATCTTCTGTTCTTAAGGGACTAGTCTGCTGAATACCTGTCACAGTACCACTCATCTGCTGTGCAATACTCACAGCATTCCTTTCGCCTAACCCCTGCACTGGGTCTACTATGTTTTTCTGGGTGGGTATTTGTTTTACTGTTTTGTTTGGAACACATTCTCTAAAGAAGGATTTACTTCTATCATTTTCCAACTCTTAAATACTTTTTGTACTTTGCAGGCAATGTTTTCTAATTTATCTTAGAACTCTTCTAAATTATTGTTATATCTTTTAACTTATGTGACTTTTTTGCAGGACTGAGGTTTGGACGCAGAGCCTTGTATTTACTAGACTCTACCACTTGAGCCACACTCTCAACTCTTTTTTGCTTTAGTTGTTTCTCAGGTAGGGTCTCACATTTTTGCACAAAACTAGCCTTGGACTGTGATCCTCCTACTTACAGCCTCCCACACAGCAGGGATGACAGAGCATATCACCATGCCCAGCCAGCTTATTGACTGAGATGAGTCTTGCTAACTTTTTGCCTGGGGCTGCTTCAAACTGCAATCCTCCACATCTCCACCTCCTGTGGAATTACAGGCATGCCCAATTTATATGAGCTCTTTCTCACTTATTCATTCATTAAGTGTTCACTGATCTACTATTCAGGCACTGCTCTTTAACAAAGGAGACAAAAGCCTTACTTAAATTCTAGTAGAGAAAGAAGATACACAATAACTAATGAAAATAGCAAGTAAACCAAGTAGGTTTAGGGCAAACCTAGAGGCAGCTTCTCTGAGCAAAAGAAAAAATAGAGCAGGTTAGGAGATGGACAGCATGGATAAGCAGTTGCTATATCGATAGGGTAAATTTGGGTAGGTGTCATGAAGATGAAACCTGAAAAAGATTTGTGCTCTGTTCCTTTTTTATAATACGCTATTTTTGTTTCATGAAAGCATTATCTTCTATTATAGTTTTGTTTTTGTTTGGGGGGGTTGTTTTGTTTTTTTTTTTTAAGTTTTCTTCTGCTCACTGATACTTAGTTTTATCCAAATCCCAGTTTTTAGTTGCTATAGTTTTTTGATTTGTTTGATTTATGGGTGCTTTTCCCACTCAAATGTCTAGTTGTCAATCCTTGACAGTTTGTTCATCTTTAAAGAGTACAGCATTAACACATGCCAAGTATACAAGTAGGGACTGCTGAAGCTAAAAGAGTTTGTCTGTTTTTGGCATGGTGGGTTTTCTTATGTCTGCTAAGTCAACACATACTGATTAGCTCCCCATCATCCAAATGCATTAATATCTCTCCTCAGTTGCCATGTCCTCTGCCACTGTCTTTGACTTTGACAATTTACACCTTTTATACTCCTTGATCTTTATGTCAGTTAGGTTTGAGGGGAAATGCAGAGATAAATAATGTGTCCTATCTATGATGGTTAACTGGAAATGCCCCTTCTCATATTTCAAAGCAAAAAATAAGATAAGTACCTTAACACAATGGATCTTATCAACAATATAAAGAAAATAAACAAAAATGTCTAATAATTACAAAAAAAAATCTCTGGGTAAGAGACTGTAAGTAGCCTACCTTTATATGTCCTGTGATTTATATGGCTAGCATTTTTTAAAGGAAATAGGATTCATAAAAATTATGTGAGGTTTTACCTGTAAGATTCTAGAAGATCCACAATTTCAGTCTGTCCAAAGTGTTTAGCCCAATCTAAAGCCATCCTGTCAAAGTTCAAAAATATAAGACTGACAAATAATTTCCTCTCAAAATTATAAAACTAGTCACTCAAAGCCATTTACACAGCAATTATTTTGTGCCAGCAATTATTACACAATAGCTTTTAGTGCAAAGACAAAAATGAGAATAAAAAATATATGTGCAGCTATACAAAGAATTACCAGCCATTGGATGCTTTACTGTGGACATTGGCTCCCATACTAATTAACTGCTCTACTTGACTTGCAAAGCCTCGTCCTGCAGCAACCATCAGAGCTGTTGCACTGGTTTCACTATGTCTGTAATCAACTAAAATAGGGAAAAGATAAACTGTTAAATTTGCAAATTATTTAAAACTATTTATCTTTTTAAATTTAAGTGATAGAAGTAATTGTCAGAGTTAACCCAGGACTTGCCCTTTTGTTTGATATATTATATAACCTTTACATTATCCAAGAAGTTTGTTATTGAAAGGCCCTTGTATAAACAGGATGGAATAGAGACTCTCTTGGGAAGGGAAGAGAAGGTAAAATGGTTATTAAACTGTTGACAGCTCACCTATATAATTACAACAGAAAATGAAAGCTACTAACTTGCAGAACTCTTAAGTTGAATTCTTAAATCTAAATAGTTCCTTGATCTCTAAATGACAATATTATAATTAAAGATTTAAGGCTAATTTTCATCAGTAATGAATGCTTAATAACTTCAGGCAAAGCCAGGCATGGTGGGACATGCCTTTAATACCAGCACTGGGAGGCTGAGGTGGAAAAGTAATAAGCTCAAAAATGACCTAGGATACACAGTAAGACCCTGTTTCAAAAAATCAAAAATAAGTAAAACTTCAAGCGAAGTTCATGACAATTTTTTAAGATATTAGAATACTGGACTCAGCGAAGTGTATAAACTATACATAACAGAAGAAACCTGGGTCTATAGAATGGCCATTATCAAAATAATCTAGTAGTCACTAATGAAATATCTAGAGTGTCAAGGATAATAGTTAAATACTTAAAATGCTTCATAAATATTTTGAAGCACTTATGTGTCAGATCTGAAATCTCTGAACTTGCAAATAAGATTGCTAAAATATTCAGAGTAAATATTTTTAAAATGGAAAAAAGAATCCTAGAAAAATGGAGTTGAACAAACATCTACACTTTCAAATATGAAATATTACTTCTCAAAATAAAGATCAATTATTTTTCAAAAAGTGATGAGGTTTCAAGAGTAGATCCAATAGAAGTCAAAATGCAAGTCCTATCTCTACCTTGCATGTACTTGGGATTACTGCTATGTACTACCATACCCAGTCCTGTTACCTATTTTTTCTTCCTTTTTGTGAAGTCACAAAACTCTTACTTACCAAGGGATAGGGTGGGGGTGCTAGTGCACGCACACACACACACACACACACAATCTATGTATACAACACAAATAAATAAAAGCATTTTTTGTTAGTAACAGTCATGTGTGTACAG